GGCAGGTCCTCACACTGAGCCTGCACCAGCATCCCCTGGGTGACTGGGTGAGAAGCAGACGGTAGGGCCCCAGTCCCAGAGGTTCTGATGCGCAGGCTGGGTGGGGCCTGAGAATTTGCATTGCTGATAAGGTAGGGGATGCTGATGTGGCTGGTCCGGGACCACACTTAGAGAACCCTTGCCGTACAGTAGATGGGTCATTGGTGAGCTAGAGTATTGATCCTGTATCCTGACAGAGACCTCAAGAAAGCCAAGGAGCAGATCCCGAGCATAGCTCACAACCCCACTTGCCACATGTTGTAATGCTTTGCCTGGATCCCTTGCGCACTGGGCCGTGAGCTCCTGGAGGGCCGTTGAAGCAGAGAACACAGTGATGGGTGTATACCATGGTCCTTGCTTTGGTGCCGAAGGGACCGCTTGCCAGGGCCCCGTGGTTCCTCTCTGGGGCCAACATGTGAAGTAAAGTCCTGGGGCTTTTCCAGCAAGACGAGAAGATCGAGGCAGTGGTTCTGATCCAGGAGATTTTGCCCTCCAGGCGAAGTAAATGTCTGGGGACATTTTAGGTTGTCACTGCTTTGGGTTGGAAGATGGTGCTGGCATCTTCGGGATGAAGTTTGGGGATGCTGCGTACCACCTGCTCTGCACAGAACAGCCCCCACACCAAGGGAGCCTGCAGCCTGTTGTGCTGAGCTTGAGAAATCCCGCTTCAGGGGAAGGAGGGACTTGGGCGCCTCACTGGGTCTGGGTTCTTGGGTTCCCCCCGAAGCTCTGACCTGGAGTGCCCTGTCCTGGTGGAACCTCCAGGGGCCAGGGCTAGCAACGTCTCCAGGGCGACTGGACTGCAGATCGTATTTTGCTGTGCATGATGCACTCCCACGTGTAAACACGCACCCATGTTTTGTGTGCATTATACACGGAATTATTATACCCACAGTATGTTATCATTATACCCATGTATAATGCGCACCTTTATTTTCCCCAACACTCGGGCATAAAAGTGCGTATTGTATATGGCAAAATGTGGTAATATTTCCCCACAGCTAGAAGTGCTTTAAAATACATTGTCCTTTTAAAATAATAAATTGCTCATTGGAGGAGGGCGAGGGCATTTGTCGAAGGATTTACTGACCTTAACTGACCCGCAGATTCCCGTCGCCTGCAGGAGGCAGAGAGGGCTGTGTGCCTGAGTGTCCTCGACCGGGAGAGAGCCCTTCATTTCTTGTCTAGCTGTGTTTGGAGTGCAGTAGGCGGGTCGTTGGCAAGTGCCATGTACCAGGTCCAGCGAACAGCCCAGAAAGACCGGTCCTGTCTTCATGGAACTTTCATTCTGGGGGGGAGGTAGACGCAGTGAAGAGGGGATGGTTTTTTCTCTCACAAAAGAGATTGTAGTAAATAGGGAAAGAAAGGGCCAAGTGGGAAGTAAGGTGTAAAGTCAGGGTCTCAGGGTCTGTTTGGTGCTTTCAGATGAGACCATCCAGGCCGTGACAATTGGATTGAGACCCGAAGCAGAGCCAGTGCAGTTGCGGGAGGAGACAGGCCAGAGGACTTGTTCCTAGAAAGGGAGGAGCGGACAGGAGCTTGGGGCCACCACAGGCCAGTGTGGCCGGAAGGAGGGGCAGGGCATGGGGTGGCGAGTTAGGGGGGACCTGGACACACGTGACACCCTACCAGGAATCTCCGAGGTCTTCTGCTGCATGATGACAGCATGGTCTTGTCATTTTAAGAAATCATTTCGGCTCTTCTGGATAAAGGTGGGAAGGAAACCAAGGAGTGGAAGCAGGCAGGTCAGGTAGTCGGCTGTGGCCACACCAAGAACTGATGGTGTCTTGGGCCCGGTTGGGGAAGGCAGAGACTTAGGGAAGCAGGTGTGGTCATGCTGCATTTTGGAGGTGGCAGCTTGCAGGGTGAGGGGCAGGGAGGCACCCTGAATGACTGCCAGGTTTCTGGTTTTGGCTGTGGGCTCCAAGGGGTGGACGTTTATGGAGAAGGGGAAGAGCAGTTTCAGTGGGGACCTTAAATCCCATTGGCAACAAGGAGATGAAGAGTAGGCACTCAGCCACAGGAGTCTGGATTTGGGAGGCATCGAGATGGTGTTGATGGCAGAGGACAGACATGTGTCCCCTAGGGCTGGTGTGAGGTCCACCTCAGTGGCCTGCAGGGGCCAGACTGGCCCTGCAAGTGTGAGGATGGCAGGTGCCGGGTCATAGTCATTGGGCATTGGTGGGGGTCAGAGAGCCCAGACTTCGTATGCGCAGCAGATGAAGAGGTCCCAGAAGAGATAAGAACAAGAGAGTGAGCAGCTGGGGTTTGGGGTGCCCTTTGTATGGGTGTGCAAGTCACTCACTGTGATGCTGGGGGTTGGGGAGGAGGGGAAGCCTGATCCAGCCCCTGGGTTGCCAAAGAATGATAGGCAGTGACAGAGAATTTTCTGGATGCAGCAGTGAGGAATGGGCTGCGTGGCCCGTGGGGGTGCCAGGGTTGTTTACAGCCGGGAGTGGCACGGTGCTGGAAAATGGAGCCAAGGGAAATGGTAAGGCATCCCTAGGCTGCCGGGAAGGCGGGTCCCCAGGGCCAGCCCAGCCCCTGCTAAGAGCAAGGAGCCGAGGGTGGCCTAATCCAGGGGCTTCATGGACAGTGTCCCCATGGGCCACAGCATGTGGGGCATGTGTGAGGGAGTAATCTCATTGTGGTTTTGATCTTCACACCCTTAATGATTAGTGACCTTGAGCATCTTTTCCTGTGCAAGCAGAGTTTTCACGAGGGCCTTTCAGGGCCGGCCGTCGTTGGGTAAATTCCAGCGCCAGCTGCCCAGGCCTGTTCTGCAGGAAACAACTGTGGAATGAATGGCCCAGTGCGGGGTTAAAGCCTACAGATTTATACTTGTGCTTTGGGAGGAGTCCGAGACCTAGAGATGTCAAGTGACTGGCAGAAGGTCATGGAGGTGCAGTCTGGACCTTGTAGAAGTGAAGGGGGGGTAGGGGGGTGGTTGAGGCCCTGGGTCCTCCTGGGTCCTCAGCACCATTGTGGGTACTGGTATCCAGCCTTCTGATCCCTGGTCCTGGGCTTCTTCAAGGTGCTAGGTGGCAAGAGCTGCACAGCCTGGAGCTCAGTTGCCCTCTCTGCTTCCTGAATGATTCACGGATGTCCATTTTATTCAGCAGATTCCCCCTGCTGTTCTGGGGAGGTAGAGTAAGTGAGACAGAGAGATGCTTTCACGGGTTGTCGTCTGGCTTCAGAGGTTTCCTTATCCTGGCAAGAGCAGTGACATTAAATGTTAATTCTCAGGCTCCTCTGCATGTTAATTATTATCTTTTAAATAATGCATGAGGATAATGTCAACTTAGGTGAATAGGGTTTTTCTCGAGGGTCCTCTGTAAAGTTATTGTCTTTTCCTAATTAAAAAGTAATCCGTAGTGATATGATTTGAGATCATGTGAGTATTTTCTTCCCCTGCAAAGTTGCGCTGGCTGATTTTGACTGCCATTGATCATTCCTAACTCCATGGTTCCTTCAATATGTTTACGTGCATTTGAGAGTCTGAGAGCTTTCCCTTCTCCCCTGTTTACATAGAAGTAAGGATTCGGGCATGGACTCTTGTTATCTAATCGGTTATGACTCATTGCCGTTTATTTACTCTGATGCTCCGTGTACCCTGGATTTGTTTCCCAAGAGCCCTTCAGCCTGTTCCCCTGTCCGTCCTACACATCCTCATGATTCTCTGAGTGCTTCCTTATTTTATGGCGTAAGACGTTTCGGGCCTGTCTCGGACTTTCTCTGCCTGTTTCGTGTCGGTCTCATCCCCGGCAGTGGTGCTGTTGCCCGGGCTGCTTGGGGCACTGCTCACCTGGGCCTCTGCTGGAGGGGAGTCCTCGTGGACGCTCCCCCCGGGAACCAGTGTTGTGGCTGGACCAGCCCTGGTGGTTCTTAAGCTTCCAGCCACACCTCAACAGTGATCACCAGGGGACTCTGAAAAAAGAAAGACAAGGTGTTGACTCACAGGTCCTGGAGGGTACAGGGCATGTCTGGGGTCACATGCAAGGTCCTGAGGTGGCAGGGGGTGGGGACGAGAGCTAGCAAACAAGAGTGAGAGAGAGAGTGAGTTCGAGCAAGACCGTGGGGATCTACCTGTATTGGAGTTGAGGGCGGTGTGCCTAGGGTTTCATGGGTTTATTCTGTATTGATTAATTCGAACCACAGGAATGGGAGTGAAAGTGCAGAAAGGATAAAGCAAGTGGTCAACCAAATAAATGGTTAGTTATCTAGGTCAAGCAGAGTTTTCTGGGAGAGAAAAAAGGGACCTTCATGGGTGGGTGGCCTGGCTTTTTATCTAGTCCCGTAGCTGGCCATGTGTTTGAATTCGATGTCTTTGAAGTGGGTGCTTCAGCAATCCAAAGCTTAACGTCAGGCACTCATATTGCAGTTAAAAAAAGCTAATAATTGTCAGACGCTTGCCTGACACTGTCCTAGCCTTGGAGTTAGTTATTTCCTCAAAGTGTTCCTTGCTGGTTCTTTTGTGGGAGGAAGGGTGTTAAAAAACTGCAATCTGATCCCTGGCTGGTGTGGCTCAGTGGATTGAGCACTGGCCTGTGAAACAAAGGGTCGCCAGTTCAATTCCCAGTCAGGTCACTTGCCTGGGTTGTGGGCCAGGTCCCCAGTGGGGGGGGAGCACATTGATATTTCTCCTCCTCTCTTTTCCCCTCTCTTCCCCTCTCTCTGAAAAGAAATAAATAAAATCTTTAAAAAAACCGTGTTCCAGGTGCCAAGTATTCCTTGACATTGGAGGGTATGCCCTCGTTTCTGGGCTCTCTGGGAAGACAGGCAGGGCTAGGGGCTCTGCGGGTGTGTGCGCACATGTCCAAAGTATCCGATTCCAACCCTCCCCCATGTCGGTATATTTAAGATGTAAACTCTGAAAAAAACCCAAATCCACGAAGTAGGATTCTGATCAGACATGTGTGTGTTTGGATGGATGTCATTCCTTTTCTCTTCATTTTCGACAGTTGGCTGAACCCCCTGTTTAAAATCGGACACAAACGGAGATTAGAAGAAGATGATATGTATTCAGTGCTTCCGGAGGACCGCTCAAAGCATCTTGGGGAACAGTTACAAAGGTAGGCCGCGGGCAGGACAGAGGAGGGGCAGGCAGGAGAACCTCTTAGGTGTGTGGCCAGCGGTGTGCAGCCGGTGCTGCCTGCCTTAGGAAGAGCTAGAGCCTGCTTCCCCCAGTGGGGCACGCTCCCCTTTCGTGGCGGGCCCTCGCTAGGGGCCCAGCCCAGCCCAGCCCAGCCCAGCCCAGCCCAGCCCAGCCCGGGAGGGAGTTGTCTGCCCTTCTGCCTGCCTTCTTGGGCTGCCCCGCGCATCTTGCAGGAGCCCTGCAGACAGCCAGCCTGCATTGTCAGGATGGTCACGAAGCACCCTGTGGCGGACACGTCCCTTCCCCTCTGCTCCCTGCCCCCGTTTGCCTTGTGTCAGGGGTGCTGGTTGTCATCATGCTTTGTTTCTCATCCGCAGGTACTGGGACAAAGAACTTTCGAGAGCCGGGAATGACGCACAGAAGGCTTCTTTAACAAAAGCAATCATCAAGTGTTACTGGAAGTCCTATTTAATTTTGGGACTTTTTACATTTGTTGAGGTAAAAGTTTTCACCCAGAATGAATTGCTTTTTCGTGTGTGTGTGTGTGTGTGTGGGGGGTGGTATTTAGACGGGTGGGACTATGGAGGGGAGAGGCAAGGTCAGGCCTGCGGTTAAAACGTGTCCAGGAAACGTGGTGTCGCTCAGTGGTCATGGTCATCGTTAGACTGGGCAAATGCCTAAGTGACTGGACTTCAGGGCGGTTACTGGTTTTTAACTCATTAGCATAGAGAGTTGTGAAAGCACAGTATTGCACATTTTTACTACATCAGGACATTGTTGGTGCTCCATAAATATCGTCACTGCCAAGTGATCCTTGACCAAGGGCAGATTTTCTACCCCCAAGGAACATGTGCCCTGTGGCTTGGAGGCGGTAAACTTGGACCAGCGTCCAGAATAACAGAAGACGTTCACAGATGCCCAACAAGTAATCGTTCACTTGACCAGGCTGTATCTGATAAATGTTCTTCCAAGCAGGTGTTGTCACCTCTCCTGTTCCAGGGAAGCAGCACCCGGGGGTCCTGTGCCAGAGGCGGAGGCAGCTGGAGCTCCCAGCAGTGGAGGGGGTCGGGCACTGGGAGCCGGAGGCCATTATTTGGAGGTGCTCTGGCTCCCCTGTGGATTCTGGAGAATGTGTGCCCCCCATTCTGGTTCCTTGTTCCTGGTGGTTGGGCTGGACTGCTGATTGGAAGGCGGGGTCTCAGGAGCCATTGTTGAGTGTAGAAAGGGGACGTGTAGTGGAGGTCCCAAGGCAGAAAGCCGTGTGCTCGGTGGCCTCCATTCCCATGAAGGGCCTCGGTGAAGATCCTCTAGGAAGACACTGCTCTGCCTGCGGGCTCAGTGCCAGAAAGCAAGCCTGCCTGTTCTGGGTAGGCGTGCTGACACTCTGCCTGCCTGGCTCATGCTCTGTGGCACCTTAGTACTGCCCTAGGGACATCGGTGGCCCTGCGTGGGCATGAGGTTAGTGGAGAGAGACATTGTAGTTGCTATGAAATAGTTGCTGTAGCTGCAGAAGGGTGGTGAGCTGTCACAGGAGATGCATGGGCCAGACGATTTGGATGTGGGAGGCGTAGCTCTGGTTTAACAGACTCATCGTGGTGAAGGGCCCAGTGGCCAGTGGGTCACTAGGTAGGGGGACTCTGCTCTACACGATGGGAGAAAACCAGAGGATCTGCCAGTTCACAGGTGCCTGTGTGGCCCTGGGAGCTTGGCATTCCTGATGACAGAGGCAGGTTGGCTCGTGCACCAGAGGGTGGAGGCAGGTACGCAGGGCAAAGTGCCTGCTTTGAGAAGGCGCCGCCGCTGCTGGAATGCTGCCTGGGCCCCGTGAAGGGCAGGGTGGAGGCGCAAACCAGTGGGGAGACCCAGGGGTGTTGGAGGGTGCGGGAACCCCTCACGATGTCTAGCCTGGCTTTGGCCTTGCACAGATACATCAGTTTGAAATGAGCAGGGTGGTGAGCCCGTGTCGTTGTGGCCCATGCATGCAGCATTTCCTGAGCAAATGTCACTGCAGACTTCACAGCACACCCCTCAGGAACTCTGCTTGCCAGGATGCTCGGGGCCTCGGGCATGGGCCTGCAGCCTGCACCGTGTCTGGGGGGTCAGTGGGGCATGTGGCCTTGGAGTTCGTGGGGATCGTATCATGGAGCAGCGTCCCTCTGCAGATCTGTGCTCTTGTGTCTTGTTGCTACCAGGACAGGTAGAACCCAAAAGGCAGCCCATGTCACTGGGTTTGGACTGAGCTTCTGGACTTCCTCACTGTCATGGGCTGTCGGCTCCTTGGGTCTCTCGGCCCCACATGGTGACCAGATCCCAGCTCACCGTGAACTTCTGGCGTTTATTGGGCAGAATTCAGGAGAAGTAGTCATGGAGGCGGAGCTGCAGCAGCCAGGGTCCCTCCTGAGAGAGGATCAGCCCCGCAGGGGTGCGGGGCTTATTGCCCCTGGTAAGACCTCACTGTTGGGAGACCCCTGGCACCAGGGTTGGGGCACTGAGTGCAGCTGATAGAGAGCCAGCCTGGCTCCTCTTTTAGGATGATGGGTAGTCGTGGCACGAGACTGGGGGGTGGAGTGCCCGGCCACCGTGGGAGCTCCTCTTCACAGTAGTAGTACGGGTCCTCCTCAGTAGTAAGAAGAGCAGCAGCAGCGGTTCGCGCTGCGGGGAATGGTCGTACCTGCCACAGTTTTGGCAGGGGCTTGCTTGGTGGCGAGCGGCAGTGGCAGCAGCATTGTTAGTATAGTAATAACAAGAAGTGCTTGAAAAACGTGCATCAGAAACTGCTCTGAGCACTTGACATGTCCTGTGACATTTATTCCTTTGGCCGGCTCCGACGAGGTGGAAAGGATGACTGTAACCCCATTTTAGAAAAGTGGACGGGTAGTGCCACCAACTTCCATGTTGTGCCCAGCGGAATACCAGGCCTCAAAGACAGAGCCTGGCCACGCCCGGGGCTGAGAGCTCGTTCAGTGCCTTCAGAGGCTCGGGCGAATGAACGCACCTTGGACTTGGCCTGGCTGTCATAGGGAAGATGCTCAGCACCCTTGGAGCAGGAAGTGAAATGGCAGATTGTAAATGGGGGTCGAGTCCAGGTGGCCACGTCCCCTGGGTGCTGGAGGTGGCTCCGGTGTGGAAGCTAGCAGCAGTGTCATGGACCAAAGGCTTTGTAGAAGCCACCTTCCTGTCACTACCACCCCCACGTGGGTGCAGCTGTGGCTGCCCAGGCAAGTGAAGTTCACAGACATCTGTTCACACTCTCTGGGCTCTGTTCCAGGTCGGCCCCCTGAGATGGACCAACAGGAGGTCATGGTCTTGGGTGGGACTCAGTTTGAGTTTGCTGTGTTGCCCCTGAGCAAGAAGACCTGGTTCCCTGCTGAGCTTGCATCCTGGGGACCCTGGGAGTGGATGTGTGGGTGCTCAACAAGGATGAGGACCCCGGCTCAGTCACTTGTGTGGGGGGCAGGTGTGTCTGTCCCAGAGTCTGACCACACTTCCTCATAATGGGTGGACACACCAGGCCTGGGGTGCTAATGGTGACAGCTGGGCGGAACCAGGCGGTGCTGGCAGCAGGTAAATCAGACGTGAAGGTGCTGGACTTTCTCTTAAGAGGGTGCCTGCTTGTTCTTGCTGTCTGTGTTCAGGCCAGTACCTTGGTGATTACGGTTTAAAGTAGACAGTTGTCCAGAGTCCCTAGATGAGCGTGGTGATAGGCAAATGATGTTCATTCTGATTTTGTGTGTTTGAGGTAACTGGTAGGACACTTCTGATACAGTGACGTTCAGGGATCACTAAGAGTCATTAGAGATGAACTAGAAGTAAACCTCGAATTTTCTTTTTTTTTTTTCCTGGCAGCCAAACGAAGCCTGAAATCCAACACAGCAAATATTCTTGTTTTCTTAGACTGGCCTGCTGCCACACTGGTGTTTTGGAGACGTTACAGAGAAATTACTTCTTAGGGTGAAACTATAGTTTCAAGGGCCGTTTTGGGTTTTCAGTGATGAAACCTAGTTGCCGAGTTAGATGAATGAATGTTAGTTTAATGGTTGACTTCTGGGAGCAGTTTCCCGTTGTGTGGTCTTGTACCTATGCTGCTGGCTGGTCTTTGTGTTTTAGGTAGTGGGAGATCTGAACTCAGCCTGGGATTTTCTAGAAAGCGCAAGGCAGGCAGATTATCCACGATTTACAAGCAGTACACTATTACCACCCAAAGCGTGGGCAGGGCCTTCTCTGTGCACAGCGGCAGCGCTGGTGGGTAGGGGCTGGGTGATGCCAGTCCCGGGCAAGGCTTTTCAGATTGGGGTTTCAAAGCAGAGCAGACCTGTCCTGTGAGAATTGCAGAATGATCGTGATGCTGGAGCTGCAGGCACTGGCTAGTGGTGACCTTGGTGTTCTTCCAGGGTGACGCTAGTCAGCAGGGAACGGCCAGTGAGCTCCCGGCACACCTGGCCCCTGTTACACCTCTGTGGGGACTGCACTGGGAAGGGAGCCAGCCTGCCCACCCAGAGCCTTCAGGGTAGAGAGGAGGAGGCCTTTTCTAGGGCCAAAGGAGGGCAGAGGCCACCTCCCCAGTCCCGGGGCTGTTTCTTTGAGAGGGGAGGTCTCCGCCCACTGATATGTCAGTGGGGTGGCCTCAAAGAGCCTCTGCGGGTTCTCCAGTCCCCTTCTCCTGGGAGGGGAGGTGTGGACAATTCCACTGACCCTTAGAAATGGGCCCAGGCACCTGCTGGCCTTGCCCAGTGACTCGCCTTTGTCTGGGACCCCCGTTGCGGACTGTCTTTGGCCCAGGTGGAGGCCGTAGGAAGTCTGACGTTTGTGTCAGTCTTGGTGCTGGAACTCAGAGCCTGGGCAGAGGACAACAGGTTGAACAAAGCTCTCTGAGCAGAATTAGTGCCTCGTCTTGGAGCTGATTCTTGAGAGCTCTCTGGGCCTTTGTGTGGCTTTCCCAACTCTTTCTTCCAAGTGTCCCTCACCTCTGCTTAACCCAGAAGGCCAAGGAGTGGCTGCCGAAGGAGCTGTGGGCCAGGAGCAACCATGGGGGCTGTGGGGGCTACAGAACTAAGGAGAGAAGGAGGGAAAAGCTCACAGGAGACCTGCAGAGCCCCCCCCCCCGCTCCGCACACCCGGCTGGTCCTAGGAGCACAGCATCCACGTGGCGGTGTCCGTAGTGATGGCCCCGCATCATCAACAACAGGGATGCTTCTCAGCCCATTTTTCCTTTAGAAGCCGGGGAAGTGAGTCCTCTTTACAGGATTGCATTCATAGTGGTTAAAATAAAAAGTCTGCGTAGCAGTGAAACTTCCAGTGACTGTTCGGAATAGACACGTTGGCCTTCGGGAGGGGCTTCCGTTAGGTTTCTCATCTGGCCATGGTCGCCTGTGCACCGCCCTCCGAGCCCTTCCTGAAACCAGCTCCCACCACTTTCCGAAGAAATTTTTTTCTCTTGGCTCACGTGGTTGTCCCAGGATTCCCCCCAGGTAGACAGGGCAGGTATTTCCACAGGTAAGAGCATGGAGGGCAGGGGATAGGCTTAGGGTTCTGTGACTCACAAGTGGTCCATCTGGTTCCTGAAGCAAAGCGTTCTGATTCCTGGGACAGCGCCCTGGACACTTTCTGTCCTGCCACGGCTGCACCCCGGGGCCAGGCAGCCACCAGAGGGGGTGTTTTTCTGACAGCAGCTGGGTGCTCCTTTGTCAGCTGCGTCATGCAGTGTGTTTTTTTTCTTTTAAGTTTTTATGAACATTTCAAAAATACGGAAATAGAATAGGATGGACAGGTAGCAGAACAGGTCACCCCAGGATACGCCCCTTTGGCAAAAATGCCATTTGAGCAGATACTTTTTGAGAAAGAGCAGACATGGGAGAAGCTCTGGAAACAGTTGGGGTGACTCTTCTGTAAGGGCCACTGACATTTTAATAAAGGAAATCACTGTTCCGTCATGGCTCCCTCTTTGTCTGACTCTGGCTTTAAGAGGCTTAAATCTGCACAGCAAACCCAGCTGCACCCTTGCTCACCTTGCTGCTCCTGTTAACCCCTTGTAACTTCTGTTCCTTCTTCTGTCTTTAGCTGAAGATACTGTTTAAGGTGGTAGCTCAGCATTACTCAGTTTTTCAGGGCATCTCCTGTGTGTATGGGAGGTATGCATATTTATAAGCTTCTGTTTGCTTTTCTCTCATGATCCTGTCTTTTATTGTAGGGGGGTCTCATCCAAGAACTCAGAAGTGTGGGGGGGGGATTCCTTCCTCCCCTGCAGGTTGATCAAGCCCTTATGTAACCCTAAGCCGGCTTCAGTACAATGAACTCAGGACCAGTCTTGCTGCATTACTATCCAGACAGTATTCACATTTCTTTGTCTTTTTTTTCTTTTCTCCTTGTCATTTGAAGGCATATCTAAATAAGGTACGTTTGATTGATGTAGGTTATACATCAATTAAATCTCCCTTCTCTCTTTCCCTCTCTGCTGTGTATCTCTATGTATGTATGTCTAGATGGATGTTTTTGTGTGCTTATGGATCTGTCATCTCTCTAGCTGAATTGAAGGAACCAGATGGTTTGTCTTGTAGAAATTCCCAAGGTCTGGATTTATACCATCGACTCCCTTATCCACCACTTACCCCTTATCCACCACTCCAACCACGTGCCCTCTGGCACTTAAGTTGGTGGTTAGATCAGAAGGACAAGTCGCAGGAGTTCTGGTTATATTTGTGTGTGTGTGTGTGTGGGGTGTGTGTGTGTGTGTGGATTATTTGATTTTGTGGGGGGTGTTTAATTTTGATTTTCGTAATGCTGCTTTTTTTTTTTTTTTTTAATGAGTATCAGTGTAAGCTAATGGATTTCAGCATTTCTCAAGTGCTTCAGTCCATTCCAAACCTTCTGGATGCCAGATTTCTCTAATGCCCAATTTTAGTCATCTTTGGCCAGTGGGAGTCCTAAGTCTCTCACACATACTCTGATAATCTTTGCTCGTTTCCTTGCTCTCTGGAGTGAAGAGATGTTTCTGGCTCTTCTTGTATAGGTTTTGTCCTACCCTGGATTCAGCCATTTCTCCAGGTAGCCCTGGTTCCTTTTAGTGGGAAATGGTGTGTAGAGACTATAGTTCGGGTACTAGAGGTGCTCATGGCTGCTAGGTTGCTTACTGATTCTCTACTTTGATTGGACCAAGCTAGAATACACTTTTAAAATGTAAGCATAACCATGAGTGCTTTGGGTATTTACAGCGCAAACCATATTGAGGACATTAGTGTTTTTACTTAATCTCGTTACTCTTTATGTTTTTCTCTCTTATATTTGTATCTCTTTTCTCCCATCATCTATTCTTCTTTCTCTTGTGCCTAATCCCAGTTCTCAATGAAAACATAATTATTCCTTTCTTTTATCTTACACTATCAACACTGTCACCCATAATGGGACTTCTGAAAAAAATTTAAGATTTTTCTTGCAGTTCATATTGCCTTGTATATCACATTTATACTGAAAATACTGAGAATGTATTCTTAGATTATTTTATTGAAAACTACTTGTAGTCATTCTTTTTTGTGTGGTTATGCCACACAAAACCCACCCACACAACTGGGTGGGTTTATATTTAGGTACATTTGCTTCATTTCACTCTGAAATTTTAGGAACTGCTTTTTAAAAATGTAATTGTTCTATAATTCCATGAAATGTTTTCTTGGTTCCAAAGTCAAATGAGCTGAAGAGTTTATTTTTATTTTTTAATAGACTTTATAAAATTTTTATTTATTTATTTTTAGAGGAGAAAGGAGGGAGGCAGTGAGAGAGAAACACGATGTATGAGAGAAACAGCAGCAGGTTGCCTCTCTCATGCCCCTACCTGGGGACCTGGCCTGCAACCCACGCGTGTGCCCTGACTGGGAATCGAACCGGCAACTGTTGGGTTCACAGGCTGATGCTGAATCCACTGAGCCACACCAGGCAGGGCTCATATTGGGTCCTTTTAAAAATGCCTTCATGGTTTCACAGTTGAGCATTCTTGTGAAGGAATAAAGACTGCATTCCCGTTGGTTTGTGGGAAGAATCTTAACTAGGTCAGGGATTAGTTTCAAATATGAAAGGATTGCATGAGTAACTTCTGACCTCATGTCTGCTATCCAGAAAGTTAAAAAATAATCCCCCCCCGATTTTATTGAGAAATAATTAAATGATTATTGCAAACAATATAGATACAATAAAAACAAAGAAAAAAGGGAAAATTGTTTCTACCTGCAATGAGAACTCTTAGGAATTACTCTCTTAGCTTGCCTACATATCGTACAGCAGTGGTAGCTATAGTCATCCAGAAGGTTTTAATTTGGTTACTTTCAAGTTTTATAATGCCTGTGTTCCCAGTTGTCCTGTTTCTTACTTGTTGAGGCTTGAGATCAAGAGTGGACAGATGTGTGGGGAGGTGGGAGCCGTGACCAGGCATTACTCATTAATGAGCTTATTTGCCTGGCCAGATGGTTAAAGACCATCTCAGTAGAAGAGTCAGGAGGCCTAGGTGGTAATGACCCCCTTTATTTTGTGGGGTTTGTTGCCTTTGTCAGTATTCTCTCTAATGGGTGACAACATTCACAACATTCTCTGGTCATTGTACCCACGTCAGGTGCAAAAGGGAGCTGAGTAACAGGTGACACTGACCCCAGAGACAGTTGTAAGTTCTCCGAAAGCTTGGGATGGGCGGTGTCACCTCTGGGCCTCTGCTGGGCAGCCACAGGCTCTGGTGCGGCTGATCTGGGCTGCCCTTGGCTGGCCCTGGGTTGGGGCTGCCTGTGTGTACACTTGGACATTCCTTTCTTTTGTAAGCCTCTGGCTTTTTGCCTCAGTAAACTCTTATTAAAGTCGGTTTTATGATCTGCTGCATGAGGGCTCTTCTGTAAATTATTATTAGTGCCTCTTGGGGTGAATGGAAGGGCATGCTGGATGTGTAACAGTGAGTCTGTGTGTTCCTGAGGTTTCATTATCTTACTCATAATTCTTCAGCTAAACAATGTTCCTTCCCTGTATAAAGTAGATGAAAACTGCTGTGGGCACTCGGAAGGGGAAGCCCATGAGCAGGTGTTCGCATGTGGCCACGCAGGACAGTGGGGTTGGGGATCTGTGTCATGTCCGATTTGGGGATGGGGACCTCTTGCTGTCAATATCCTGATCGGGCACTACCCGTGGTTGCAGAAGAGAATGCGGGTTAGTTTTGTTCCATGTTTAGTTTTCTGACTCTCCCTCCCTTTTGTGCGTGAGTTCCTCACTGTGGACAGGTAGGCACACCTGTCAGTTGAGGGACTGCTTAAAGGACAGTGCTTGTTTCCAAGTCAAGTTCTTGAACGATTTCCAAACTTTGGGCATTTTGTCTTTGGAGAAGTCTGTGGGGGAGATGATGTGGAGGGCCTCTGCGTCTACTTTTGGTGGCTTGGCTTTGTACTGTTTGGTTTTCTTTGATGGGGAGAAGTATACTTTACAAAGGAGGAAGAATTCGTAGTGTGTGGGATGGAGCGGCCGTTTGTCAGGGAGGGGCAGGTGGTGCTGTTTCTCTGCCTTTTGTCTTGGGGAAGAAAAGTCCTTTCCCTCAGTCTGATACAGGAAGTAAGCCCAATGACGGCCAACTCATTGGGGTAGGATTTTAATTTTTGCCTTGGGGAAGTAGATGACTGTTAATATTTTTCAGAACGAGCACCTGTAAAGCATGGCTGAACCATGGATGACATTGTTTTTTAGTTTGGCTTTCACCATGTTTAATTTTTGACTCCAGAGACCAGAGGTTTGGACACATCCCCACTTCTAGAGGCTGGAGGGGTATGAAAGTGACAACCCCCAGGGCTGAGAGCCTGGGAACCTCCCAAGCTTGGTTGCCTTGAATAAAACTTTCTTTTTAATCTTCCATCAGAAGCTGGACTTCCTTCTCTTGATTTACCAACATGTTGCATTTGGGTTGGGAAAGCTTGGAGGGTTCTCTCTTGTGAGCTGTGTGTGTGCCAGTATCTCAGTTGGTGAAGGCTCTCGAAGCAGAAGTGGGGAACGAGTGGGTCTCTGGTAAATGAACCAGCCTTGGTTTCCCTTTGGGCCCGGACATCACGAGGACGGAGGAAGCAGGCTGTCCATACGTCCCCAAATTCTTTATCCTTCTTCAGTCACTTTTTCCGTTATTCATCTTAGGCCACGGCTCAGGTGGCATTTTGCCAATGCATTCTAAAGTACCAGTTTTAATATGTATTGAGCATCTACAGTGTACCAGTGCTTTATTGTCTTTGAACTTCTAATTTTGGCTGAAGGTCAGGACTGCTATCTGCTTGTCATAAAGAAGGAAATCATTTTCTTTCGGATTAGTGATAGGTGTAGCCTTTTTTATATGCTAATAATAAGAGTAGAGCTGCCTTAAGAAAAACTAGTATGGCTTGTGTTTCTAATTAAGGGTCCCCCCTCTTTTCCTTTTAGGAAAGCATCAGACTAGTCCAGCCCATATTTTTGGGGAAGATTATTAATTATTTTGAAAACTACGACCCCACCGATTCTGTGGCCCTGCAAAAAGCCTACATGTACGCCGCCATGCTGGTGTTCTGCACGCTCATTCTGGCCTTGCTGCATCACCTGTACTTTTATCACGTTCAGTGTGCGGGCATGAGGCTAAGAGTTGCCATGTGCCACATGATTTACCGGAAGGTAAGTGTCATTTGGTATGGACACGTGCACCTCACCTTCGGCATCAGAGGCATTTGGGGAAGTTCTGCCTCACCAAGACATTTTGTAAATAGAACCATTTAAACCTTACTTGGAGGAGCTTACTATTTGCATCAGGCTTTTTTTTTTTTTTTAAGGCAAACTTTTCTAATATATGATGTTTCCTACAGAGATCAACTCAGGACTGTCTTTGATAGCATTTGGCCATAGCTGTTGCAAAATACTAAATTTGTAGTGGAATCTAATTTAAAAAAAGTATCAGGTTGATTTAGGCATGAAAAATTTTCACTGTTTTCATGCCTAAATCTCATGGGCATATTTATGGAACTTTTATATGTTGTTCATTAAAACTTTCATTTATGTCAAAGTTGTATTAAAAAATGACCATCAGTGAAGCTGGATCTATAAAATGAAATCTAGGACAAAAGATGTATCGAATATTTGAAAAAGGGAAGGGTCATATTTTAAAAAATGAACCATTTAATTGTGTTCAATATAATTTTGTAAACTCAAGAAAAATATAAATGAAAGCCAAATATAGACTCACTCTCTGTATTCTAGAGTTATGGCTGCTTTTAATAGTATTAAAGAAAAAAATGGATGTTTGGGATAAAATTTTAAAGTTTGTATTGTTTTGGTAATTTTGGAGAGAAACAATGACTTCTTTTATGTTGCTTATTATATACGGTATTTCCCTTCATTTTGCAGGCCAGCAGATGTAGTGATTAAGACCCAATTTGATGTGCTCAGTATTTTTGTATTGAGGCATGCTGTGAAATTCTCCCATAATTTACCCTGATCTTAACTTTTATAAAAGGAGCGAGGGTTTCGGGTGTCTTTACAAAGGAGTTGCCACAGATACACCAGTATCTGGCGATAAAGGACTCTTTATAGACTTGACCCTGGAGATCTCTTTGCCCTGGACTGTTTGCTTTGATGACATAAAACCAAAAACCCAAACCAGATATGTCCCATGTGACAGAGTTGCCTACTGTTTGCTAAGAGAGTAGATCTTAACCGTTCTCCACACCCACCCCACCAACAGAAAACTGTGTAAGGGGATGGCTGTGTTGACTAGCTTCACTATAGTAAACATTTCCCAATGCACGTGTGTATCAGAACAGCATGTTGTATATCTTAAAGATACACAGTTTTTACTGAAAAAATAAAATTCTCATCGACAGAGAAAGCCCAACAATATAAGTGTTGCTTCTTTTAGCTAGTTGCCACTCATCTAGAGCTTCTGTTTGTTGTAACTGCTTTTCTTGCAAACTGTAAGACATCTCCTGCGCACGGTCCTTCAAGCAGAACGGTAATAACCTTGGAACTGTGGGACTCCCGGAGGCCTGGCATCTCATCGTCTGTGGCAGCCCCCAGCACGGGAGCTCGCTGTCTTTCCTCTTCTGTGACATGGAAGTGGTCACAGTGCTGGTACGCTCGAGCCACCGGGCCTTGCTCCATCAAGGGGTCTTCCTTGTCCTTGTCACCATCTTCATCATCTTTGTTCCTTCTCTTGCCCTCCTTTTTGCCATTTAGGAGAATACTTAGACATCTCTATACATTATCTAGATTTTGTATTTCCAGATCATGTGTACCTGCCCAAAGTAAATAGGAAATGTCACCAGCGCCCCACTGTGAAGAAGTCACACACCAAAGCCAGGTGTGTGGTGATGACTCAGACAAAGCCCTGTGCCAGGTGTCGTCATCCACCTGTTTTTCTTCCTCTTCTCACGAACGCTTTGGAGCGCCTCCTCTGGGAAATCTGATCTGACTTAGCACATGCAAACGTCTCCCATGGGTATTAATTTGTTGGCTCGGTTAGCCAAAAGAATTGACCCTTTACAAAGCCAAGAATTGCTTGGGTTAAACCATCGACACAACCTGAAATTCCAGAAACGTGGGAAAGGCAGATTTCCTCGTGCACTGCCTTGTGTCTAGAGTCCCGCTGAGGTGAAGAAATAAGATATTGTCACAGGTGGGCTGGTTCCTAAGGGCCACAGCTGCTGCGAAGGCCCCGCCTCCTCGTCTCTCGCCCGTGGGAGGAAGTCCGGCTGGGTGTTGGAAATGGAATGGCCGATGAGCTCATGGTCGTAGTTTGTCCTCTTGAATGACCCTGGGATGTAGCCTGTATCAAAATGACTTGGCATCTGTTTACCTTTGCAACAGTAAAATTACTTCTGGCTCTTGAACATTTTTTAAAATTTTGGTGAAATGTGCCTAGTGTAAAGTTTACCATTTTAACTGGTTTTACGTGTGCTGTTTGGTGGCACCAAGGACCTTTCCCATTGGAGTTCAGCCATGACCGCTCGTCATCTCCAGAACTTCCTCACCTTCCCAAACTGCAGCTCTGTTCCCCTTAGACACTGGCTCCCTAGCCCCCTCTCGCCACTGGCATTGCCGGTCCACTGCCTACTTCCACGAATTTGTCTACTCTAGGTCCCTGCAGAAATGGAATCATACAGCATTTCTCATTTCATGTCTGGCTTATGCCACGTAGCATAATGTCTTCACGGGTCATCCCTGTTGTAGCGTGTGCTGGAATTTAACTCTTTTTTAAGGCCGAGTAGTAATCTATCTCAGACCTCGTATTCTCGTATTGTTTCTAGTATTCATTCACCCGGCGGCGGTGGCACTGGGGTTATTCGGGGGGTCGTGCATAACGCAGCGTGGCTGTGAATGTGAGTGTCTGAATGCGTGCTTTCCTTTGTTTTGGGTGCACCCCCAGAAGTGGAATTGTCGGATTCTGTTTAATTTTTGGAGGAACCGCCGTACTGTCCTTTATAGTGATTCCATCACTTGATGTTGTCACTTCATTGTTCGATTTTTCCGTTTAAGTTGTGGACTCGGTGAAGCGAAGTTTTGATGATGCACAGCATGCTGTTTGAATCAGCGGTTCCAGCGGGCTGTCTGTCACAACAGCTCGTGGTGGTCTGTCGACTTCCTCCAGTCTCTAGGGCATTTTTCAGAGTATTTTAGCTAATAAAGGGACTGTGCAACACAGGCTGTATTTTTATTTTAGTTTTTTGTAAAGTCACCAGGCCGGCAGGAAGAAAACGCGTCCCTCACACAGTGGTGTTTTAAACATTGTGCTGCTCACTGTAGCCTGTCACCAGCGGTCACTGGTTATCTTGCCAGCATGGCTCGCTGTCACGTCTGCAGTGGGAGCAGCGGCTTATTTCCTGTCTTTGTTCTTTGCTGGACACAGGACAAGGAGGACCTGCCCAGCTTCCCATCTCAAAGGGCTACTTTCCCAGCTCAGAGCCCAGGAGGTGGGGCAGGATGACCATCTCAGTCACCAGGATGCTCTAGTCCTATTTTGCAGAGATTTTTTTTTTTTTTGCATCATAAAATGCATATGGTACAGAGATTCTTCCTTAAGATCTCTAGTCTCATCGGCCCTTAGGTTCCCTGACTTTGTGCCCACATCGGAGAACTGTGGTGGGCACCATACTGGACCCCAGTGACGGGCAGGCTTGCTCTGAATGCTGGGTAAAGCCAGAGCTGTCAATCACTGAGCTCACGGACACCGTTCACTGCTACTGCTCCCCGGGACAGATTTCCTCCCAGAACTGAGTCAGTGTGGCCAGACTTCTCTTTCTGGCTAAACCTTGTCCTCACTCTCTTTAGGGTAGCCTAAAGGGTAGCTTGTGCAAGAGTGTGTGTCCTTTGTTTCAACTTCTAAGGAGCGCCGATTCCCTGCAGACATCCTAGTTTCTCTTTTCCCCTCGGTGTAGATCTGCCGTATGAGAACGTACCTATGGTCAGTCATCATTCATTCCCTGTTGGTGCTGGGCAAGGTGACACCCTGCCTTCCTGTTGCAGCCGTCCTACCGTAAACAGATGTCACTTTCACGGTCTCTTCAGTGACTGTTTTCTGCACCTTTGAGCTTTTTTGGAGGGGTGATTTTGCTGTTTAAAACGGTCCCATGCAGAGCACTCCAGTGCTGTCTGGTGTTGCGAAGCACAGGAAGACCGATGTGGCTTGTGGAGAAAATACCTGTGCTAGCCAAGTTTGGTCCAGGTGTGAGTTTTCTCGTGGGCTTCTGGCCACGGGTCCGGTGTTATGAACCAACAGTAGGTATTAAGTAAGTTGTCTGTGAACAGAAACAAGGTTATGTATGTGTGGATCCGTTGATGAACGTGCTGTTTCCAAAGGCTGGCAGAAACCTGACCCTGCACTTCCCCTCGGGGCAGGTCATGTTCCCAGTGACTTTATAGAACGTGACTACTGATCTCTATCCAATACATCTCAAGGGGGTGGCGTCCGTACATCAGTATCCAATTTAGAGAAATATTTTTACTCACCTTAGGGAAGCGTATTTTTAATTATGTAAGTGATGTCCAGATGGTCCCCAATGTTAATGATGGTTTGATTTAAAAAGTTTTCAGCTTTATGATGGTACGGGAGCCATGTGGGTTCACTAGAAAAAGCACATCATTTTCAGATCAATATTTTGAATATTGATCTTTTCCTGGGCTAGCGACATGCAGTGTGGCACTCTCTGTGACGGTGGGCAGTGGCACTGGGCCCGGCTGCCATTCGGCCACGCCATCCCGACGGTCAGCATCCGGCACTCTGCAGGGCCCCGTGTTGTCAGTGGTTTTGGGAGATTGTGTTTTGCGTTTTCTCATTGTATCCTGTCTACAAAAGGCCCAGCTGTGCCTCCTGCTTCTGGTGGGAAGAGGAAGGCAATCCCTTTGAAGGGGACCGCCACTACTTGTCCATCCAAGTCCATCCATAGGCTAATGTAAGTGTTCTGAGCCCACTGAAGGTAGGCCACCCTCAGCTGTGGTGTGTGGTGGGTTAGGCATATTCAATACATTTTTGAGTTACAGTGTTTTCACGTCAACATTTATGTGTAGCTCAAACTTTAGACTTGTACGTTTTGGAGGAAAAGGCATGTTCCTGGTGCCCATGCCATTTACACTACATTTCACAGTTTTAGATACTCTTCATCTTTCTGGATGAAGGACCTCCCTGT